GCTCCCCAGAACTGGCTCTGGGCTAGATGATCTCCCTTCCAACCTCAACCATTCTGTGATTCTGTATACCAGTAGGCACGGTGATGGTGTGCAATAAAGTTGATTAGGGTCTGTAAGTCTTCCTCTTTCCTGTTTTGTGCCTGCCTTCTCCTCTTTGCAGAGGGAAAGTATTTCTTCAAACACTTTTTACATCCAAGGAGAAATGTTTTGTCTCTATTTAAAAGAAGTGTTGCATCCTCTGCAGTTTCTAGACAGAACTACTCGTGCGTGGGAATCAGACTGCGACCCTAGCACCTTATATCTGAGTTAAACTCCCTCTCAGCAGATTTGCTGTTACATGTAATTTGGATAGGACTCTCAGACAGTTCGCCTTCCAGGAGTAATGGCTGACATGTGGTGGAATTTTCCATTTTTTCCCAGTATTCAAAACTGAGTGAACCACACCTTCTCCCTGGGGCCCGAAATGTATCCATCTGGCTCCCGCTCTGCCTTAGGCTTCTCTCTTCACAGAGGCACTCAGGCTGCTTAGTTGCTATAATCCTCCCCTCTGCCCTCTTGTTCCTCCCACTCCTGCACCAAGTTCACTGGTTTTCTGCCGTGTGGAGTTACTAAGAGACAGCACAGAAAAGACCAGAAATCTCTGTGTATTATGAGCAGGCAAAGGACTGCTCTGTTTCCAGTAGAAGGCCGGTTACTCAGGTCTGCTTATTAATTTATTTAAGTGGAAGCAGAGCTACAGAGATTTGTAAGTAATTTATTTTCACAAAAATGGAGAGGATAATTTGGAGACTCCCAAAAAACAGAACTCTTATGTTCCAGAAGTGAATGTAACTGCTGTCTGGAGATACTCTTTCCCAATAGGAACAGGTCCAGAAAATCCCTGGACTGCTTCAGAAATGCCCGGTCATGGCACTGTCACATATGCTGTGTCATTAGTTTTCCTGCCTGAAGGATGTGGCTGTCTAGTGATTAGAGTTTTAAATAAGGGTCTTGGGGACAAATAAAAACAAGTAGCTTTACCTTCTCAAATTGATAGCTCCTGGGGATGGGCTATCTGATGCAGTTGTGCCCTAGGAGCTTTCTGGGAAAAAAGATGATGCTCTGCCTTTAAGGATAAGAAGCTGTATTTTAGTCTATGTGAGGTGGGAAGACCATAATATTGAGTTAGAGTGGAGACAATGAATGCTGGTAAACCCGAATAGTGATTCATGAGGAATGCAGCAGAAAATAAGAAGCGAGCACAGGTCTAGGAAAAAAATGAATCAGGTGTTTCTGTTGGCAGTAGAAGACCTGAACCCTATGGCCTGAAACTGAGGCTAAAATTATAATCCACTCAGTAACTTTTTGTTAAGATTACGTGACTGTTTGCTGATAAGCACTTCCACGCAGATCTCCAAAGCTTGTTTGCCTGCACTGCTGAATAGAGGACAGGTATTTTCCATATCTTCAGAGCGCCCTAGGGAGTTGCTCTTCCAAAGACTGGGCATTACTGCTCTTCACGCCTAACCTTACAGCCCAGGTCCTTCTTTGCTTCTCACCTGTCCTTTTCTTCGTGTTAGGGCCAGTCTCTCTGCTGATCCAAAGCTCCTGTTCACTGACCTTTCTAAATTAGGTTTCCAAAGGCTTTGCTTCTCTTGCTGCCTCTGAAAGGAGTAGTGCAAATTCTGAAACGTAGCTGCTATAATGGAAGCAATATAGAGAATATTAACCTATTTTATGCCTAGTGAAAATACAGACTTAATAAGGCTTTCTAGGTTTTGAAAGGACCTTTTTAAGAAAGGTTTTTTTCGTTTTACTATTTTGAGACTCTTTTTCCCTCCTCATAGCTCATCTCTTAGAAATTGAGACTGATTTCCTGAGTCACAAAAAAAGTCCTGGTGGCAAGAATGAAGTAGTGCCTTTGGAAATGGAAGAAGTCTTGTGGAAGGCAGGATGTTCTTGCGGGTGAGCCCCTAGAATGACTCAAGACATTCAGGCTCATTTCCAGGATTCACTGTCTGACCTTGGGCAAAAGTCACTTTGTGTCTTTGAACTTCAATTTCCTATCTCTAAAAAGAAGATAGGTGACTTTTTTCAGTTTGGGTGCTTATCCTGTAAAAAAGGTAAACAAGCAGCTTAAATGAGAATTGAGAATAACTATGTTTAATTATGTGCATTAAGCTCGCACACAATTCTCCTCAGGGTCTTAGGACTGTAAATTCTTGGATGATCACCTTGCACGAGGGAACCCTGCCTTATTTTCTGATGTAGTAAAAGTCCTGAACAAGAACAAAACTGCAGTGTTAAAGGAAGCATCTGTTTATATGTATATAGCAGTAGGAGGGACCGCTTGGATCACCACGTGCAATCTGTTTTAAGGTACATCTTGTTTATTTGGCAAAGTTTCCCTTATTCTGCAAATGTAGTGCATACCTCTAGGGAAGCGGTGCTTATGGGATCATTGTTTCTTGGCTGGAGTGGGAGAGGATGTAGAAACAGTTAGTTTTAGATGCTGCTTACTAAATGTTAATAAATTGCTTAATTTGACTTAGATCTTTGTTATGATGAGAAGTGTCAGTTCACTCTGTCAAACATACAAAATAGTCCTATAAATTTATCTCTAGAGAAAATGCAAATTAGATTCGGTTTAGATTATTGTTTAGCTTACTGTCAAAATGCTACCTCAAGCTTCCACAGTACTAGCCTCCTCACAGAATCACAGAATGGTTGAGGTTGGAAGGGACCTCTGGAGATCATCTAGCCCAACCCCCCTGCTCAAGCAGGCTCCTCTAGAGCACATTGTCCAGGATTGTGTCCAGACAGCTTCTGAATATCTCCAAGGAAGGAAACTCCACAACCTCTCCGGGCAGCCTGTTCCAGTGCTCTGTCACCCTCACAGGAAAGAACTTTTTCCTCATGTTCAGACAGACCTTCCTGTGTTGCAGTTTGTGCCTGTTGCCTCTTGTCCTGTCGCTGGGCACCAGCGAGAAGAGCCTGGCCCCATCCTCTTGACACCTTCCCTTCAGACACTTATACACACTGATCGGATCCCCCCTGAGCCTTCTCTTCTCCAGGCTGAACAGGCCCAGCTCTCTCAGCCTTTCTTCAGAGGAGAGATGCTCCAGTCCCTTCATCCTCTTCGTAGCCCTCCGCTGCACTCTCTCCAGGAGTGCCATGTCTCTCTTGTACTGGGGAGCCCAGAACTGAAGACGGTACAATAACAACAATATAACAACGAGCCTTGTCTTCAAACAGTGCCTAAATAAATGAACAAAATACAGCAAAATACTCAAATCATCAACTAACTTTCTATAAGAACAAAGGAGTAAGCAAAATTCAAAGGCATGGATTTCCATTCTTTGACGACCAACAGGAGGAAATCCAGGGACTAGTAAGTCACCAGATGACCTCAAGTGTAGGTTCAAGTTCAGAAATGGACATGTAGTTTACGGTCTGCACCTTGGGCAGACTATATAGAAAAAGCTAGGGGGAATCAAAGGCACAGTTTCAAAAGATTAGCAGTGAAATAATGATGGAGCTGCTAACAGAAATAGCAGTTTCTCATTAGAGAGCAAATACTTCTCATTGGAGTATTTGATTAATTAGCTGACATTAACAATGAAACATGAAAGGAGTAACAGATAAATAAATCTTCCTATAGTAAACCAGGTGAAGTGCTCATTAAAATAAAACACTTAAAGAATGGTAGTGGAGCTGTGGCAATCCGCAGAACTCTTGCCAGATAAAATCACACCTCATGAATCTTTTGGATGTTCTGAACATACCAATGTAAAGTCCACAATATAAAATGAACGGCTTATGTCACTTGGCTATTCAAAGAAACCTCTACCTAAGACCCTTGCGATAAATATTGAGAGAGCTGACTATCCGTGGGTCAGATACAAAGCACTGTTAAACATCCAGGGATGACTAAGATGGAAAACGAGCATGATTTGGGTTAAGCTGTTCTTCATAACCAGGGTAAGGGGAGGGGGGGGAAATCAAGCAGAGGGATTTTTCCTTCCATCCATATGTTTTGTTTGTCCCTTTTCTTAAGAGTACGTTGCAAGAGAATACCGACCATTAGTATAGTAATCCTGTCAAGAAACACAGCGATCTCCACTCATCTTAACACCTGCCTCAACGCAGCAGGAGCTTAACCACATCAGTGGTTTCCAACTCCTGGTTGCTTCTTAGCCCTGCCTTAGTTAAGTGTCCACCCTGTGGCAGGTCACAGAGGCAGAGATGGCAGTATGCGTAAAGAATGGCATAAGGCAGTATTGCTTACCTTGGCTGTCATCTGAATGAAATATCCTTGGAGACTCTCTGATGCAGTCTCCAGGGTTGTGTCCTGGGCCTAGCCTCTGACAAACTCCATAGTATCGGTCCTTGCAGACCGTTACTCGTGCTACGAGGAGAGAAAGTTCTCCTGAGGGTTGATTAACATGATAGTTTTGTTCTGGTTGGCAATGGGGAAGTTGACGGCTGCTGCGACCTGGCCCCCATCGTTTTATTATGGGACTTTCCATAGTTGCCGAGCAGAGAACCACCTAGAAAAGAGCTTATCAATGTGCTCATCAGGAAATTGCTTTTCTGGGAGATGGCCTAATCACTTAACTCGCGGAGAGGCAGGTTGCCTTTCGCAGCGTCTCTGCATAATTATTACCATGCATGCTGTGTTCTGGGGTGTGCACTGTGCGATTGGACCATTCAGGAAAATAAGAACAGTGTGTCTGCTGGCCTATGTGTGTGAGCAAATGGTAACCTTCAGGGGTTTGTAACTTAGCCAAGTCTAGGAGCGTATCCATGAGAATACAAAATAGATCCTGGAACTCAGGGTCGTCTCCCTGACAGGCTGAGGCCTCTTCCAAGTGCTAGTGGATCACATACTGGTTTAGAAGTAGAAGTCTCGTACCTCTGCTGCTTTTTGAACTTGTGTGTGGCACATCAAAACTCTGTCTTTTTCTCCCCCCAGGACCCCAGCTTTAATTCAAAATCCCTTCTTTTTTGTGTTCTTGCAGGAATCTACCGCACAGAAAAAGACAAAGGCACGTTGTACGAGCTGACTTTCAAAGGAGACGCAAAACACCAGTTCAAGAAGATTGTTTTATTCCGGCCGTTTGGTCCGGTAATGAAAGTGAAAAATGAAAATGTCAATATGGCTGACACGCTTATTAATATCATTGTCCCACTGGCTAAGAGAGCCAGCAAATTTCGACAGTTCATGCAGAATTTCAGGTGGGCTTCCTTTCAAATGGTACCCTTGCTTTATCTTATTTGGACAGTGAGATGCAGTTACTGGAATTATTGAGACCTCACTGGGTAAAAATCCTGATACTTTTACATACAATTTCATTGCACCTTTAAGAAATCATTTTAACATCAGAGTGGCTGAAAGGTGTTTGGCTGTTTGATGCATTATGTTTAGCAGTAAAATCAGTTATATTGCAGTCATCAGGGTTTCTGATTTGCGTGTACCTGGTTTATGTCTCTCAGTCTGTTTTGCTGGGGTACATGCTACTATGTGACAACAATTTCATGCCATTAGTTGCAGAGGAACGTTTCTAGGGAAAAAGGGAATTAGTACTCCCAGACATTTTGCCTGGCCCTATTAGAGAAAAGATAAGGCAGTAAGAAGCAAGAAGGAAATGTATTTGAAGTTAAGGATAGTTATTTTTAAACTCATTTTCTTTTCAGCATAGAGACAACCTTTGCAGGTAAAATTTCATTGAAATGCAGCTTTGAAGAGCTGCCCAGAAAAGACTATGTTAACAACAGATACTAACTGTTACAAATGAATTTGTTTTTTTCTGATTTCAGCCGTCTAAAAATAGGCTCCTTGTTTAAATTAGCCATCTAGATGCTTCTTTTAGGATGGGATAAATCACCCTCTGGTGGTGCTGATCTCTCTGCTGATTATAGATTAAATCCTGCTGACTAAACTTTGTACAAGTGAGGCATGATGTCTGGCATTAGGTCAGATTGATCCTCCCCTTAGGCTATTGGATTGATCCCCAGTTGATATTTAGATTTTAGGAAATGCTCCTTAACACAAAGCCAAAGATCTGACCTTTGGAATATTTGTTACCAGAAATCAAGATTGAGAGGTAGGGATTTGAATGGATTCTTTAAAATCCTCCTTCTCATTCTCTGTTGAGTGCTAGAAGTAATATCTGCCTGATCTTTCAGGGCACTGGGTGGGCTGTTTTAGTGGTGCTGAGTGGTGGTTTAATGGTGTCCTGTTAATATAGCAAGCACTGCCTAGACAGTCAGTTCCTAATCTACCTAAAAGATAATGATGGTCTTCTGTCCCATCTGATAGAGGCAGTGAGCCCCTTTGTTAGTACAAGGACCTCTCTTAGTGAATCATGCCCTCAGGAA